CAACTGAATAAAATAATTGTAAAAACATCGTTCCAAATTCTTTCGCTTTTTTGTTTCCGATGCGATGAACCGATAAGGCGGATTATATCGGTTGTTGCCAAACACGAGCACATCATATTATTATTGAGACAGGGCGGTACTCAAACTTCCAAAGGGCTATAACTTTGTTACTTTAATTTTACCAGAAAAATGGTAAAGGAAAAAACATTTCTTTTGATCAGATCTACTCGGTTAAAATAAATGACTCAACTTCGAAGTCACCCTGTATATATATATACATACGAGTATATAGGGCAAAAAATACAACTAATTGTACACTGCTCATATATATTATTCGTAGTTAATTGCCTTAACTCTTAGGAGAAAATATCCCTGAATTTCTTTGGGTAGAAGGCAAAGTTTTGCATAAGAACACTCTTACAACTTGAACTCGAGCTTTCGATGATCTATGCCATCATCGTCTGGAATTAAGAAACATTTTTTTTAAAATTACAACAATAAACAATTATTAGGAAAAATAATTACTTACGAGCTCGGCGGGATTGTTGCTGAAATAGTTTTTCAACGACAGTGAAAGGGAACACATTGTCGACGAACAAAAAAGAAACTGGACTGACGAGGTTCGATTAAGACGGAATTATTTCAATTTTATTAATAAATGGCAACACCATAGCTGTTTTTTTAAACCACTGACTAATTTGGAAGATCTTGAAAATCTATTGACTATTGAAAAATCCTTCGAGGTTTCGTCTTTTCTAATAACCTCCACATTATCTAACACGTGCCGGCCGACTGACACTCTACCGTGGCATATGAAGCGTGACATTGAAGTTATTAAATCGTTATCGAACCGTTTGCATACTTGTGATGTGTGTTGCGGAATTTTTAGCCCAAGGAGGCAATGAAAATTTTCAAAATAGATATTTTTTACTAAAATAACTGCCGTAAGAATCATAGTATCGTAATTTGGAGGTCACGTTTTGACTTTGGAATAGTGATATATTATAGAGCCTAATGCTTTCCAACGTTATAAGTATCGAGAAAATAGAAAAGCTGACATAACGTTAAAATTTACATTTTTGCCGAACCTTCAAACATTGAACGTGTGTCGAGATCGAGCCGTTTGTCCTAGAACCCTGAAATTGCACGTAACCTCATGCCACATAGGTGCTTGCGAGGAAAGAAATTTGAGCCGAATCAGAGGTACGAACCGCCAAGTCAGATCGTGGAATTTTAGTTTTAAGACATAGGCTATGCCTCCAGGTACTCACTTCAACTGGACGAAAAACCCACGGTAGGTGGTACATATATGGGAACGCGAATGTATGCGTTTCTATGATAGCAAGCATAAATAGTGCTACGATCCTCCTTAGATAGTTGTTTTTTCATTCAAGATGGCGACGCACAGTTTTTATTGCACACTCGTTATAGTATAACTTTCTGTAAGCCCTTCACGTCATGTCTGAGTATTTTTAGGGATAAGCTTATGGAATCTACAGGAAATCTTTGAGAAGATTAACAGGACGTGATGTAACGTCGGGAGTATTGTACGACTTATACAGGATGGTTATCATATCGGGCGTATACAGTGAAATAGGCTGTCAAACTTTTGGGTGATACTGCTTGCTCGTGCTTGAAATTTGTACACTGAAAGACAACTTATTAAAAATCTCTAGATTTCCCGCCAAAGAAATTGTAACGCTTCCTTTCCGCAAAAAGTCCAGAAAAGATGGAATGCAATGAAGATTCCAACTTTTCTGCACAATCACAGAAAGGGGGTTACCATTAGCTTCCGGTAGCTCAGTCGGTGGCATGAAGACATATACAGGCGTGTAGCTGTGTGTCGACCATGGCATGGCTAGAGGATAGAAGAACAAACAGAACACAAAAATTTAACAGATTTTATTTAACAAAAAAAAAACATTTCCATTACATTACAATTTTACAGTTTTAAAGAACAAAATAAGTTTTACATCTTTGGCGCTGCTATAAAACTATCAACTTATCTTTCGCTGGTCCATTTTGACTCGACTGAAGCGAGGATGGCCAGGTGCTTGAAGTGGAGGTCCCAGTTATGAGGGGTGACCTCACATATAGTGGCTTCATAACCAGTTGTAGGCGAAGTTGAACTTAAAGGCGATGGCGCTGCCAAGGCACATGCATAGGTGAAGTGATAGGCCAAGCAACGCAAAGTCAAAGACTAAGGCAAAAGGGAAAGGGAAAGGGAAAGAGAAAGAGAAAGAGAAAGAGAAAGTGGGTGGCCCCAATCATTTTGTCCTATACGGACACACATTCTACAAAATTCTAGCACATGGTGCTATATGACCTTGTGCTACAGAGAAGAAAATTTTTAGCTCTTGTTCGATCGGCGGCTCAAGTGAAAAGGAAGCGCGAGGAAGATCGCAGATCAGGAACTCCGCATCAAGCGGTCCAAGCGGAAAATTTTCCAAGTAAAAAAGCTAGAGATGGGATTAATGATTTGCGATTCTGAAATGATAATCGAGAAGTGATTTAATAAATACGATCGGACGGTGAAACCGTTACACTCGCCCCAACTTAACCAAAAAAAAAATTCGAAGAAGCATTCAAGAATTTTTTTTTACTAGGAAATTGAAAGTTATCACGGAAGGACAAATGTACAACCATTCGACCAGATAACAAGTAGCAAAAGTAAGGTAGAAACAAAAATGTTAGAAGAGAATTGGAAGAAAAAGGGATAGCCTCAAGTCTACCAAACAAGAGGGATGGTTATAGCACCAACTCGCTGAAAAGTACAGTGCAGTTGCACTTAAAAAAAACTATCATCATATGATGAACAACCCAAAACATAAAACATCGTCATACCTAAGACGAGAAAAATAATAAACCAAAAGCTTCAGCAGTAGTCCAAGCACGAAGTGGGGAATCACAATGGCTTCCAAAATGCACGACTGACTACTAAAAACTTCAAAACTAAGTAAGTACCTAAACCATAAGAGGTACTAAAAAAAATAATAATAATCTTTCTCAAAACAATTGCCAGATTATCTCGCAATACTCCAAACCCAAAAAGAATATCATCTACAGTGATATTTCAAAGCAATATCCAATATAAAAAAAAACAGTGCATTACTATTTTCAAAATATGAAGATCAAAAGAAATTAACAAATTCCATTAGGAATTCAAGTCATACAACAAAACAATTTACAAGTACTAAAGCAATGAAAACTTGATCAAGAAGGTATTTTAATCAAAAAAAGATGTTAACTAAGTGCAGTTCTGATTCCACAAAAAAAATTGTCGGGCGCCAGCAGTCTGTAAGACTACAAAATAATTCAAAATATTTTCAGAGAATTAAAGTATATAAGAGACATTCATGAAATATTGAAGTAAGATTTTCAAAGTCAAAATATAGCTTAAGTTCAATCAATGAACTAAAATTCAAGAGTAAGTTCAATCAAAATTTTCGGGTCATGTGACAACATAAGAACCAGACCAAAAAAAAATTCTGAAGTTCAATATAGAAAAGAGCAAAATAATTTTCCAAAAAAAAACTAAATGCAACACAAGTGCAACTGTAAATTTAATAGTATTAAAATCATAAAGTGAAAGGAAATATCAAAGCTATATGAGCATGATTTTATAAAGAATTCTCAAAAAATACAAAAGTAAGCAAAATATTAAAAGTTTCATGAGTAATAAATGAGAAACGAAGTGAGCATATGTAAAATGCAAAATAGCGAAACGAAAATTACAAGATATTTTAATAAATCATGATACATGATAGTAATGCCGCAAGCAAAAATTGTATGCGAAACTCTACGATATATGTAGGTGCAAAATTGGAGTTATAAAAAAAATCTAGTGAACAAGAAATAGAAATAAATATGATAGGTAAGAATTCGAATTTTGATTTAAAGCAAAAATATGAGAGAAAGACAACTTTCTAGGGTCACCATAGGTGCACTCCAAAGCCCTAGACAAGAATGTCTATAGTCTATGGAATATTCTCATGTAGATCACTGATATCATCAGCGCACTTCAAAGTCTACACTGAGAGTAACCATAACATTGTAAAATGAAAGTTAAGTTCAAATATGAAATATTACAAGATTAGAAAAACTATAATAATTTACCAGGGTAAAGTATGAAAAGAGAATTACTATACTGAATCTATAAGAATTGGCGATTACTTCAAGTCAAGACAGAAATTGAAAGAAATAAGAAGTCGAAAAAAAAACTGTGAGAGCAGACTATCAAAACAAATGCAATAATGCAAAAGCAAAATCACCAGATAATTCAAAATCTATAGCGAAACATGAAAGCAATGTCGCAACAGAGCTCAAGACTTAGCAATACGCACAAATGTGCACAAAGGCTGAAAGCATATATGAAAAATCTCAAGAAGGAATTGACAATTACTTCAAATCAAATTGAACTGATTGAATTGAACTATATATATAATTACTATATCAAAAGTGAGTTTTACTTATACGCCAGAGGTTTCAAGAGTTTATCAATACGCACAGATTTGCAATTAGGCGGAAGGCATATATGACAAGTCTCAAGAAGAAAATAAGATGCATATGAAGAAAACACTTTCAATTAAAGAAACTGTGGATAGTACAAGACCCTCAAAGGCATACATCGCAACAAATCTATGTAACTATCCAGACTACAAAATATTGTCAAAGTTCAAAACCACTCAAAAATATGTGAACAAACATCAAAAGTTTGAACCAAAAATCAATGTAAGTCTGGGCTCTCGAAGAAAGTTATAATGAATTCAAAAAGAGGATACTATCAAAAACTTCAAAAGTAGTATACTTCAAAAATAGAGGTACGTAAGTATGTAAAAGAAATTCAGAAAATATACGCACAAAAACATTATAAAATAATATACACAGTATTTGTCACATGATTTTGATCGGGAATGCAATTTAAATTTTGAGTACACTCAGAAAAATGAAATATTCAAAAGATGAAGTATACACATTAAATTGGAATCAGAAAAATAATTATGACTTATAAATTTTGTAAATGGTGGACTGACGTAATAGTTCAAAAGGTTGAAAGAACAACGATGACAAATGTCCAAAGTAAACATTCACCTGCCTTTTACAGAAAATTAGCTTAACAATTATCAAAGGAAATTCTTATCCGTTCGCATCTGTACTAGGAAATAAACATAGGAAAACCTACTCGCTCCAATGTACAGATCGAAAAACTCGCCCCCTTCGATTGAGCGGAAATATTTGTATTGGACTGATTGTAATATTTCAAAAGGTTGAAACAACAACGATGACAAATGTCCAAAGTAAACAATCAGCTGCCTCTTACAGCAAATAAGTTTAATCATTATCAAAGGAAATTCTTGTCCGTTCGCATCTGTACTAGGAAATAAATATAGGAAAACCTACTCGCTCCAATGTACAGATCGAAAAACTCGCCCCCTTCGATTGAGCGGAAATATGAGTATAGGCAAATTGTAATATTTCAAAGGGTTGAAGGATCAACGATGTTAAATGTCCAAAGTAAACAATCAGCTGGCTCTTACAGCAAATAAGTTTAATCATTATCAAAGGAAATTCTTGTCCGTTCGCATCTGTACTAGGAAATAAATATAGGAAAACCTACTCGCTCCAATGTACAGATCGAAAAACTCGCCCCCTTCGATTGAGCGGAAATATAAGTATTGGACAAATTGTAATATTTCAAAAGGTTGAAGGATCAACGATGTTAAATGTCCAAAGTAAACATTCAACTGCCTTTTACAGAAAATTAGCTTAACAATTATCAAAGGAAACTCTTGTCCGTTCGCATCTGTACTAGGAAATAAATATAGGAAAACCTACTCGCTCCAATGTACAGATCGAAAAACTCGCCCCCTTCGATTGAGCGGAAATATGAGTATTGGACAAATTGTAATATTTCAAAAGGTTGAAGGATCAACGATGTTAAATGTACAAAGTAAACATTCACCTGCCTTTTACAGGAAATTAGCTTAATAATTATCAAAGGAAATTCTTGTCCGTTTGCATCTGTACTAGGAAATATATATAGGAAAACCTACTCGCTCCAATGTACAGATCGAAAAACTCGCCCCCTTCGATTGAGCGGAATTATGTATTATTACAAATGATAATGATTAAGCAAGAATAATTTATCTGAATTTTAGAATATGAGATTATATAAAGCATAATAATACACAAAAGCAAAAGTTAATCGCTGTCCGAATCAGAACTCTCACTCATTACATCATTACGCAAAACATCAATACCATTGCCATGATCAACATTCAACGTATTATCAGGTTTCAAGTCTTTAACATGAAAAGTTGTCTGCAGCACTTGATTGAAAGAAATTGCGTTTGAGAACTCTATCACCTTTATTGAATTGCAGATGTCGTCTACGCAGATTAGACCTATTTCTATTAAGTTCGTAGGAACGCCGCATTCTGTGCTGGACTTTAAGGTAAAATTCTGGAATTTGCTGAACAAAATTTGGATCTATGACGTTCTGGTCGATATTGACTGGATTATTGGCAACAGGTGCAATCTTTCCATAGAATGACCCATCAACTGGTACATTTCTGTAAAAATTTGGAAAGCTGGGCGAGTATCCTGTGACTTCATGTTTAGCAAGTCTGATTGCTTGAGCTATTTGATGAATAGACTCATCCCAAGTTTTATGAGAGTCTTTGATATAGGACCTAATTGCAGTAACGATGGTTCTGTTAACTCGCTCAGTAGGATTTACCTGAGGGGTGTATCTTGCTGAATACCAGATCTTCTGCACTTTATATGAATCTGCAAGCGCTTTAAATTCTTTAGAAATGAACTGTGGACCATTATCTACAACGATGATTTGAGGGACTCCAAATATAAGGAAAACTTGATTTTCTAAAAATTTTACAATTGAGCTTGAAGTTGCCTTAGGCATTGGATGAATTAGTACAAGTTTAGTGAACCAGTCACAAACTACTAAAAGAAAACGATTGCCTTTTTTAGAACGAGGATATGGTCCTAAAAGATCTGCTGAAATCATTTGAAATGGATACTTGATGTCTCTATATTTACCCATTAATCCAGATTGAGGTAAATTACTAGGTTTGCATTGTGAGCAAACTTTGCATGAGTGTACATAGAACTGAACAGATTGCTTCATTTTAGGCCAATGATAAATAGCTGATATGCGAGATAGTGTTTTAAATACTCCTAAATGACCAGAAGTAGGATCATCATGATACATTTTGAGCAATTTAGATCTATTTGGAGCTGGAACAACGATTTTCCAGTCAGTATAAGTTTCTGCAAGTGGATTATCAGAAAGAATATGTTTGTATAGAATATTATTTTCTACTTTAAAAGATGGATACAATTCAGGGTTGTTTTCAACCTTACGTATCATTTTACGATACCACTTGTCAGGAGATAATTCCGCAAGATCTAAAACTGACACATTAACCTCATTTTCATGCAAAAGCGAAAGAGCATCTGCTACAGGTATATCTTTGCCTTTACGATGAATAATTTTAAAATCATAAGGAGAGAGACGACATAACCATCTGCATAGTCTAGGTGAAGGTGTTTTTTGAGATCTCAACCACTGCAAACTTGAATGATCAGAAATAACGAAAAAATGTGTGTGCTCTATGTAACAACGGAAATGTTCAATACTAAGAATGACTGCAAGCAGTTCTTTTTCAGTTGTAGAGTATTTTCTTTGGCACTTGTTGAGAGATTTACTGAAATAAGCTATGGGATGTTCCAAACCATTTTCTTCTTGATAAAGTGTGCCTCCCACACCAGTATTTGAGCTGTCACAACAAATATAGAAGGGCTTGGAGAAGTCTGGACTAGCAAGAATTGGAGCGCTGGTTAGCAAATTCTTAATTTCCTTAAAAGCATTGTCAGCATCAGGAGTCCAAGTGATAGGTTCACCCTTCTTCCGATTTTTAAGCAAGTCTGAAATTGGAGAACATACACCACTAAAATTGTTAAGGAAACGACGATAATAGCCAAACATTCCAATCAACCTTCGAATCTGAGTAGTATTAGTTGGTTGAGGATATGATAAGAGTGCAGATACTTTTTCGGGGTTTGTTCTAAGTCCTTTCTCATCAACAACATAGCCTAAGAAAGTCAAAGATGAGCGAGCAAAATGACATTTATCAAAATTTACAGTCAAGTTAGCATCTTTCAATCGATTATAAACTTCTTTCAGTATCCTTAGGTGAGTTTCAAAACCAGGAGTTGCCACAATTATATCATCCAGATAATAAAAAACATATGGTTCCAGATCAGGACCGATAACCATGTCTAATAATCGACACATTGCACTTGAACTATTAGAAAGGCCAAAAGGAAGTCTTCGAAAGCAATACATTCCTTTACCACGAACTATGAAAGCTGTTTTTAATTTAGATTCTTCATCAAGTGGAATCTGGAAGAATGCTGATTTTAAATCAATGGATGATAGATATCTGGCATCTATGATTTTAGAAATTACAGAGTCTATTAAAGGAGGAGGATACGCGTCAGGAATTGTTACTGAATTTAGTTTTCTACCATCAAAACAAACTCTATATGAACCGTCTTTCTTGGAAACCAGCCAGAGCGCTGAACACCAGGCACTGCTGCAAGGTTCTATAATACCCATGTCCAACATTTCATCAACTTGCTTAATAAGAGCTTTTTCCATTACATGAGAAAGCGGATATTGTCTTTGCCTGATGGGCTTTGCATCACCTGTGTCAATGTGATGTGTATATAAATGTGTACAACCAATACTGTCAGTAGGTGCAATGCTATTAAAAAGTTCAACAATTTCAAATAATTGTTCCTTTTCCATATTAGATAGCTTCTCCATACCTTGAATACAATTTACAGCACAAGATTGATATGAAAAAGTATGAAAATCAAGGTTGAAATTGAATTTTAGGATGAAATCCATGCCTAAAAGTAATGTGTGTGTAATGGAAGGAACTATTATAAATTTAATGACATGAACTTTGCCATTAAAACCTACTGGCAGCAAAACAAAACCTAAAGTATTCTGCATCTGCCCATCAGCAGTTGTTAATTGCAAGGTACTACTGTAATCGATGTTGAGATTTAATTTACGTAATAAGTATAAGCCAGATGAACCTAGAATGTTGGCATTGCTTCCAGTATCAAGCAAAGCTAAAATGTTTTCATCACCAATGGATATTGAAAGATGTGGACGATTGTCATTTGGTTTTTGAATAAATGGTTCTGAATGATCATTTGATGGCATACCTGCAAGTTGTGAATGATTAATGTCAAAATCGGGAGTAATTGCTGAAGGTTGTCTTAACTTGGCTATTTGTTGGACTTCAGAATGAGACCTGGAGTTGCTTTGCCCTTTACGTCTATGACTCCTCGAGTCTGGGCGAAAGAAGTTCCGGGAGTCGGATTGGAAACTTCTTGCCTCACGCTTTTTGAACAGGAAGGACAATTAGAGCGTGTGACATTTTTCATACCACAGGTATAGCAATAAACAACCTTAGGAGCTCTACAGTCTCGAACAGAATGTCCTAGTTTCTCGCAGTTCCAACATACAGGAGCTTTTCTGTGAGATGATGGAGTACTATCAGAAGTAACCAAGCTGGAAGTGGAAAGTCTATTGTGGGGTTGACAAGTCAAGAAGGAATCCTCTAATTTCCTACAAAGTGATGTTAGTTCAGGAAAAGTGGAAACTTCATGAAGAGCAAGTGACTTTATGAAGTCAGGCAATAAATTTCTACGGACAATATTGACCATGTCCTTTTCTGTAAATGTATTGTAGGTTAATCTATTGAATTGAGATTCCATGAACGAAATGAAGATCGTAACATGTTCATGCTGACCTTGTTTGCGTCTACGAATCTCATCAATTAGGTTCATATCAAAATTGTCACGTAGGAAAGCATCCTTGAGTTGTTTAATCAAGTCCTGCCAATCATGAAAGCTATTTCTTAGATGGCCATTATGCCACCATGTCCAGGCTACATCTTCAAAGAGATCACCTGCAGATGCAAAGAGATCCATCTCATTGCAACCACGGGAAGACATTAGAGATTCGACAATTTCTAGAAATTCAATAACTGAGCTATTTCCAGAAAATTTTTTGATTCCCCATTTGAAAACTGGTATCTTTTTATGTGGAGCAAAATTTATAGGAGAGAGTGGCTGTGTATGTACTGGAGGAAATACTTGAGGATTAACAACAGTCACAGGCGGATTTGATGCCAATGGAATAGGACGAGATGAAACTGATGGAGGAGATGATTGAGCAGATGGCATCTGAAGCTTCTCTACAAGATCAGATTCACATACAACAAGTTGTGTCTTCAATCTAGATTTTGTACTTATCTCCTCATCACAAGTAGGAGACATTCGATCTATCCTACCAGATAGATGCAATAAGCGCACACAAATTCTGCGATGTTCAACAGAATCAAATGCACCAGTAAATCTAGAGATCATCTCAGTGAGTTTATTGAATGAGAGTCTTATCTCAGTCTCATCCTCATCAAAAGGAATAGTCACAGAATTCCTGTGCTAATAAGCCACGTAAAACTTTACGTTTATCCTCCACGGTATTAGGGACTTCCAAACCTCTGATATGAATCTCGTAGTGGAGTTCAGGACTTAATAAGTCATTTGGGCTTAGTCTAGACTGAACCATGATTGAGAAATAAACCTCAAAGAAACACTTGAAAGAAAAAAATTAAAGTTAAAAACCTGAATACGTCAAGAAATGACAAGGATCTAAAACACTATAAAAAACTAACAATACAAACAAAAAGTTTCAATACAAAAACAGGAGCAGCCGAAGCTTAAAAAAATTATTTTATATCTGACATACATTAAAAGAGTACAGAGACGTTCAAGTCTTGTTAATCCAATGGAAAATCAGACACTAGTGTTCTAATTTCCCCCAAAGAATATGCCAGATAAAACTATAAAACATTAAAATTATGAAAA